ATTAAAGAACAACTTTTCTAATTGAGTTTATATGTATACGCCATCATGAATAATTATTAGTTTATTCTGCCGTAAAATCGTATTATTTACCTTGTTATATAAACTGTGTTTCACTTATTAACTTCCTTAAGTTCAATGAAAAAAACTAAATAAAAAAAATACTGAATAAATAATGTATTCTTACATCTGACATTTCGCCTACCGCATCAAAGACAATACAGTGCGGTCCTCGAACCGTCTATTGCCGTCTTTACTACTCGATTTGTTGTCATTTGGCAAGCCTAGTACTTATGGTCTCCACTTTAAATGTCCGTCAATGTTCAATGTAGAGTCACTGTGGAACAACTCTACAAGAGAAATATATCAAAAGACGTTAGTACAGAAGATACAGCTGAAACAAATAGACTTCATCGAAGATATAAACGCGAGCTGGGAGAAAATTAAAAACAACATTAAAGAAGCAGCAACAGAAGCTCTAGGAAAACGCAAAGTCATACTGAACAAAAGAAACAACAACAATACACCATGGTCCAGAAAAGAAACAAAAGAGAAACGACAGGCCTACACGACGTACAAAACATCAAATACCCCAGAATCCCGAGACAACTATAGAAGAATACGAAATGAAACAAAACAGTTGGTAAGAAGAACAAAAAATGAACACTGGGAACAGTTTACAAAAAGAATGGAAAGCGACTTCTACGGTACACAAAAATATTGAGAGTCATAAGAAACCAACGGAATAAAATGGCAGAATTGAAGGAATACAATAGTATACCAGCAAACGAATGGAAAAGATACCTGACGAAACTGTTTAAAGTAAAGGAAAATAATAATCAACACAATAACTTACCTGAATTTAAGACACATAGATTTACTCAAAAACAGAAAGTCACCAACCAGACGGAATAACCAATGAGCTTCTAAAACACAGAGGAGAAAGTATAAGCTTAGAGAGGACAAAACTTATACAAAACTAATATTGCACTGCAAAATACCAGACGCGTGGAGAAACAGCATAATGATACCAATGTTCAAGAAAGCAGATAAAGAAGACCCCAACAATTATAGAGGTATAAATCTACTGAACACCGCACTTAAGCTTACCACAAAAGACCTAACCAACAAAATCAATAAATTAACAACTTTATTAAATGAACAACAAGGATTCAGATCCGGAAGATCCTGCGTAGACACCGTATTTGTACTAAGACAAATCACAGAAAAGCCATCGAGTACAAGAGACCAGCATATATCTATGTTTTATAGACCTAACAAAGGATTTCAATCGCATCCAAGTCGAAGACGTCTTACACCTACTGTATAAAAGAAACATACCAGTCAATATTATACAAACCATCGAAAACATTTACCTCCATAATCGAATACAGACAAAGATAAATGGAAAACTAACACAACACAGTGTATACCAGTACAAAGCGAAGTCAGACAGGGTGACTCGTTAAGCACACATTAATATAATAATGGACGAAATAATACAACCAGTACGTAAAGGTCATGGCTACAGAATGGGGAACAAAGAAATCCAAATATTATCTTAAGCAGACGACGCCGCATTAATCGCCGAAACAGAAGACGAGTTTCAAAGATTAACACATATCTCCAATACAACAGCTAAGAAATACAATATGATAATATTCGCAGAAAAAACCAAATGTATGATAACATCTAAATACCCACTACGGTGTAAAATTAAAATTGGGGGAAAAATAATAAAGCAGGAAGCAAGGTTTAGATATCTGGAAATAGATATAACTAGTTAGGGAGATGTTGAAGAAGAAGTACGACAACAAAGCTTAAGTCAAGTAAAGCGGCGGGATTTCTTAAGGACACAAACTGGAACAACAAACACCTAAGACAAGACACAAAAACAAGAATCTATAAAGCAGCAATTAGACCTATATTAACATACAGGGCGGAGACAAGACCTGACACATCTAAAACGAGGCGACTCGACTACTAGAAACAACAGAGATGAAAATACTCCGACGAATATCAGGGAAAAGTCTGTTGGATCTGAAGAGAAGCGAAAACATAAGAAGAGCATATTATATATGCATGCAACAAGAAGTATTGGCAGACCAAGAAATAGATGGTGCGACAATTTAAATAATTTAGGAGGCTAATATTGAAGAAGAAACAGGCTTTAAAGCCTGCATACAAGAAAGAAGAAGAAAAAGAAGAAGTGCAAGAGTGGTCTAGAATTTTTTTTCCAAAAAATTTTGAAAATTTTACTTTTTTGTGATATTAATGTAAGTAAATGAAATTTACTAACTTAATTTAAGGTGTTGATATTGAAAGCTAAGGTTAATAATTCTTGGAAAAACAGAGAGCGGTCAAATTGAATAAAATTTAAATCGTCTTTTTCTCAAAATCAGTTTTTACGAGTAAGGCCACTCTTGCACTATGCGCCTCATTTGTACTTCTAGCTTTGTGTCATAGTGCCTTACTGCAGTTTCTAGGATTCTTTTTGTTCTGTCTGTATCAGGTCTTGTTTCTACTGCGTATTTCAATATTGGTCTGATAACTGTTTTGTAAATTCTGCGTTTCATTTCTTTCCCGATATTTTTATTTCTCTATATTGTTTCATTCAGCCATTATGTGGCTCTGTTTATTCTATTCACTTGATCTTCCACTTCTGTATGTCAAGAAATTAGCACCTAATTGAAATTTATACATTTCACCAAAAATGTATTTCTAGATAAAACTGACAGAGGTGTCAAAGTAAGAAGTCTCTTCAATATAAGAGTTGTTGATTGATGAAATATGATTGTAAAATACTATAAACATAATTCATTTAATTAATTTGTATGTGAAAAGATTATTCGATTCGGCCACAGAATAAAAAACAATCAGAATGCCCACTCTCAGATGCCGCCTTTAAAGTTTTTCAGCACGCTATCGCCATGTTTAAGACGGAAACATAGACTCGAATTGAGATATTTGTGACAAGTTACAACAGAACTATAATTTAAATTTTTAGAGCTTGTACATTTGAAATACTACATTTGTGACAAGCTACGACAGAACTGTAATTTAAATTTTTAGAGATTAATAATTTAGTACATTTGAAATAATTTTATCGTTTCTTCAACTAAAAGTACGAATAAAATAGTGCATATTTTGTCTGTAGTTGCCGTAAATAAATTAAACCGGGTTAATACGTCTATGCACACCAGATAAAATGTCACTGAACAGCACTGGTTTCTTTTAAAACATGGCTGATTTCGTCTGCGCGAACGGGATGCGCGTACTGATTTTTTCAAGCAGAGTGGGCATTCTGATTGTTTATTATTCTGTGATTCGGCTTCAAATTTTGAGCGCTTTGTGGAAGTATCAGACATTATGTTATAATTTTGACTTTTATACTGACAAAACAATCGCTAAAAATGATTGCGAAGATTTATAGACGGAAAGATAGACTTTTTTACCCTCGACTACAAGGTCTTTATTTTATAGGGGTCGTGAATCCGTTAATCATGTTAACTTGTGTTAATTCCGTTTTGAGAAAATTATCTAAAGTTTCTTCTTTTAATTGACTTAATTCGAACGAGCTCCCTGCATTATAATGCATTATAATGAGCTTCCAGCTTGTCATATTATCGGCTGAAAATTTTTCCCATTATTTTTTCAGTACCTATTGTTTTCAAAATCTAACCAGGCATTTCATTGATTGAAAAATAATTATCATGTCAGCCGTCAGAAGTTGGTAGATATAAAAATAATTGATCAAGGTGCTTTTCTACAACTTGTCCTTTAATTCTAAACCCAAAGTAATTACTATTTTAATGGAAATAAGCCACAATTAAATGTTTATAAAAAATATGTTTATTGAAAACAAGTTTATTGACGTTTCAATCTCCACTTCGGAAATCGTTCTCAAAACATTAAGTAAACAAATTTTGTTTTTTGTTACTTGGTGAAAAATCCTTCTAATAATTTAATTTTATCTGATGCATTTATATTGATATTACCTACTTTATTGTAAAAGTTCATTTGATTACATGAAATCAACTTTTAAAAATATCGGTCAGAACAAATCATAGCATGTAATTCGTCTTTAAAAAGACAACCACATGCCATGATGACAGTAGAAATCTGTTAGTGATTCGATAGTAAATAAAAATACATACAATAAAAAAAGTAAATAAAAAAAACCTCATAATACTATCCTGACATTTTGGTGTTACATTTAGTTTACTCTCAATAAATACCAAATTCTGATTTTATATGTTTGTTATTTAAAAAATATAAATAATGTATACTCGATATGTTACTGACTTACTAACAGTAGCATTTTCTTTTTATTAACTTCCTCTTTTAATATGGTTAACCATATCCCACTGCATTCTGCTAAGGAATTTGCGACACAACTGCTCCCATTTAGCATAATTAGAGCTGCTGCTTTGATTTTTTTTACCATCTGTTTCTTTTAAGACTGTACTTAAATCAATCCATTGAACCCTATGTTCATTTTCCCATGCGTGTTTACATATTTGAGATCAATCAAATTCTCTATTTTTAATATAAGATTGATGTTCACTTATTTTAACATTTAATGACCTTGACGTTTCACCTAAATAAAACTGATCGCATTTACAAGGTATTTTATAAATACAATTATTTGTTCTTTCTTGTTCATTGTTAGGTTTAGTTTTAGATATAATAGATCTCAATGTATTTGTTGTTCTGAATGTTGTTAAAATGTTGAATTTATTTTCTATCTTTTTTTTCTGATAAACCTTTTATGTACTGTGGCTTAATCCCATATAAACATAATATTTAACTTATATATGCCACAAGAAATCAGTTTCAGGATATCCCTTTTGAGATTCAAATACACAAGTAACATAAAATCGCTTTTTAACTTTTCAACGTATGCAACACATTTTATAAAGCATGATCACTATTCTGTGGCATGATCAACTTAAGCTGTCAGTGTCAGTTATAATCAGATGTCAAGTGTCAAACTATGTTGGTGTCATTAGTGTCATAGGTAAAAATAATAAAAACGTAATACTTACACAAGAAAATATTCAATTTAGATAGATTATCGCCCTTCGGGGTGTAAAACTTTGTTAATAGTGCAAAATGTCGTTAAGAGCCTTAGGAACTCGTTTATTTAAACATGGTAGTGTACTTATTCGAAACACACGAAACAAAAGAGAATTCAACACCAAAACTATTGCCGACAAAATTAATGCTGCTGCTTCACATACTCCTCCCAGCAACTTCACCAGCAATCAGGTAGTACCTCGAAGCTTCGCATTACGAAATGTTGGAGTGCAAATTGGTCTTCAAGCTCGAAGAATATTAATTGACAATGTTCTAAATCGAGTAACTAATAGTTTAGCTGCAGATCTTAGAAAACGGGCAGCTAGAAGGTAAGACATTGAGAATATCATAAGACAATATAAATTTAACTTAGATCCTTTGAAATAATATTATTTTCTATATGTTATGTTAATAAATCTCAAGTAATTCATAAATGACCAACTTGAGACAAACACTTCTCTCCTCATCAACTTATCTGTAGTGATAATAAAGTATAATAAATTTTGTGAAAATGTTGAACACATAAGTTTTCAGTGTTTTATTGCTAGAAAAGTGAATTTCCATCAAGTAATGGTCGAATCCATCACTCAGATAATTAAGCTATATCCCTTCTAATAGTATTACTTTCTATTTTTTATGTTTTGGGTCAATTCACAAATAAGTCTAATAAATGATAAATGCAGCCAAGACAGACCTTTCACCCGCTGGTCAGATGATATCAAGAGAATCACAATGAATTCCTATCTTCTGCTGGGTTGCAAACCTATCCATTTAAGATAGTCTATGCAAAGAACCAATAAAGCTGAAGAAATAAGTTTTAACAGTTTGTTTTTGTTTTGGCAATCAAATATAGTAAAATTACTTGATTTGGTAATTTTTTAGTATGGGACTATAGATTTTATTGAGTTATGACTACAGAATTTATGAATATATTTTAATGTGTATTTTAGTACATTGTACATCTTTCAATGTACATTTTTAACTGCTTATATTTAAATAATAAGGGTAGCAGTGCTGGTTGTTTTCACTATCTTTGTCAGAAAGTAATAATTTAAGAAGATAGGTGGTGATGAGAAGAAAGCTCTGCCCCTATTCAACACATATTCAACACCCTATACATGTAGTGGAAAAATTGGAGGATGTACTTAACTATTATTATTGTGTACCCAGAAATATTACATTCATAGATATTTCAAGAGAAAATTATAAATTTAAAGCTATGTAAGTAGATAATGAACTAAGCTGGTCTTGTTGTGGAATCATTGCTTAGGGCCAGTTTAGGTTCTACAAGAACAAACAAAAAAATTGTAGCAGTTTGACAAGTTTGTCCTATTGGAAGAATTGCTTAATGTATACAGAATAGACATATCTATACTCCAAGTTTAAGTACCTGGGCATCTGGATCAATGAGAAGATTATTTCTGATTTGAAAATCAGAGCTGAAATTAGAGTAGCCAGATTAAACTTTTTAACATGCATAGCCTTCATAATAGTAGATCTCTCAATAAACAAATCAAATAAGAAACAATTTTGTAAAGTACTACATGTGCTCTACAATTTTGTATGGGGTTAAAGAGTAGATAGCTAAAATTTAGGAGCTTGAATACACTTGAGGCATTTGAAATGTTTGCATATGGAAGAATGTTGTGAATACCTTGGACTACCATACCCTTAACTTGAAAGTTTTACATGAATAGCCTGGCAAGTGAGCTAATCTAAATTATTAAAACTATATATCTTGGTTATGTAATGATACACCATACATATCACTTCTTTCGACTCATAATAGAGACTAAGATAGAAGATAGATACACCAGAATATAGACAGTGCTCTTGACTTAAGAACATACAAGATAGGACTGGCTTGGGCTCAAACAATTTCCAGAGGAAGACCCTATACATAGAAACATTTGCCAAAATTGTTGCCAGTCTTTATTGTAGAAGACTTAAAGATGCAGAATGATAATACTTAAATTTGTTTAAAAGAATTTTTGTATATTTCTCTTGAAAACCCTATATGGTTCACACTTAAATTTCTTCTTAAGTATGTATCAGCAAACTATGGACTATGTCTGCTATGAAATCAATGTTAGTTGGCTTCAATTCTAATCACTATGTGGTGGTAAGGGGCTCCAGGGAACTAGCAAGCCAGAACCCAAAACTCTTGACTAGGTCCTGAAAATACATATGATCTGTTTTCCAATTTGTATTTTAAAACTCATAGATTTTGATTTATCCTATTTACTACTAGATTTTGAAATTGTAGAATGGGATTTATTATAAATTTTGAAAAATATAAATAAATCCATATAAATGATACATACTTGCATCAGGAAATAAAAGTATAACAAAGAAGACTAATTTGTCATGATTATTAGTTGTTACTGGTTTAAAAGATCATCAGTCTTCTTTCTACCTCTGTCTACTTTGTTGGTGGTTTCTATTTTTGTCAATATATTATTAGTTCCATCAATTATATTAATTTTTCTGTATGTCTTCTCTATAATTCTAGTTTTATTTTTTAATGTAATCATAACTTATAGGATCCTATTTGGAGATTCTGGACCATTTTTTGCTTTAGTTGGAGTAAGCTTAGCTTCTGGAACAGGCATTCTTACCAAAGAAGAAGAACTGGAAGGGGTATGCTGGGAAATAAGAGTAAGTGTTAATTTTTTCAATATATTATTTATTAAAAATACCAATTGACAAAGGCTCAAGCTGTTGTACAAATCATGGCATTGACATTAGTTACAATTGCAATGATTTAAAAGCTTAAATAATATGTATGTACCTTGATATCAAATAAAAATTCCTATTTGGTTAGTTAGGAGATCTTATTTTAGAATCCCACTTCAGTGGAAGCTGTAGAGTGTAAGTAATTAGTAAAATTGCAAGTAGACATAGTCCCAAAAGCTGATAATTCCAAATGAACTCACATTTTTGGTTTATGATAAAAAAATCTTGTTAAATTCATAAATTTTTAATATTATATTTAATATTTTTTGACAATTTTAGAACAATATTGAAACATTTTTGATTTTTTTTCCTCCAAGTACATCAGTGATTTAAAAATACAACAATAGTTGAAGACCTTGGTGCAAGAACCAGGTAACTCCACTTTTCTGAAGTGGTGCGAAATAAAAAAAAAATTATACATTTAGAAAATGTAAATGAATTATGCTCAATGAAATTAATCCTTTTACAGGAACATTAGACAGCCCCTATGTATTCAATCACTATGTTTCATTCATATTGCAGACGCAAAAATTTTGTTTTGAAAAAGTGCTTTTCTTTTTTTTTGTCCTTTGGGATGGATTTTACAAAATTGTTTAAAATTGCCTGAACAGTTAAGTGGTATATTCGTTTCTTCTTTCTTCTATTTATTTTTTTTTCTATGAAAATGACCTATTACATGGTAGAAAACTGTCCTGGTTCCGGCTAAAGTTTGATTTTTGTTCTGTGCAAATGCATTGCCAGGAAAAATGTATATCTTACTTAATGAACAAGGAAAATATGTGTGTATATAATGATCAAGACAGAATATGACATGTAAAAAGTTGACATGCCCAATTTTCCTGTATGAATACAAAAATTATATTCTTATAGTTGCATTTTGTAAAACGCATCTCCTGCTGGAACATGGGGTAAAGGTAAATTCTGCTGGAAGTTGAAACATAATACTTTGATGGACTAGTCTTCTTTACTGAGAATGGTAACTTATTTTAATTTTTTGTAAATCATCTCAGACTTATGAATATGGAGATCTTTTTCAGTCTGACATGCTATTTTCTCTTCAGGAAACGTATTATACTACACAAAATTACAACATACTCTTATTAACAAAATATCTAAACTGAAAACAAAACACCAATACCACTCTACCACCGTACCAGTGAGTGTTATCTTTACTCCGACATCTTGAACTACGCGAAACCATTTCGGTGCTAAAATCAGATAACTTCTGGTCTTGCCTGATTCTTCCACCGTAATAGTTGATCAGATCCGTGGCTATGCTTACTTAATAAAGATTCGTTGGATTTGCCCGAATCCTGCACCAAAATATGCACAACTTTAAATTTTGTATGCTAAATGCAATAACTCAATTTTGGTTAAAAATGGAGTTGCCTGGTTCTTGCACCGAGGTCTTCAGTTGCTGATGGTGAAGATGATAGCAGTACATCTGTTAAAATACTTCATTTGTAAAAGTGTGACTAGTTGGAATTAAATTTGAACAGTTATATTCAGTCTTTAATCAAAAAAGGTAATATCTTAAGTATAGTTTCGCTTTTATTACTTTTTAAAACTTGTTTACAATTAACTGTTCTAAATCAGGAACTATGTTTATTGCAATATTTGTTATTGTATTGTTAATATTTGTTGTTATTATTGGATTGGTATAAATATTTAATCTATTGTTTTTATTGCACATACTATCAAATTTATTATTGATAATATTCAATATGAATTTTGATAAAATTAATTATATGAATTGCTGTTGATTATAAAGCATTTTATCTCTATTCTAAAATGAAAATGATTTTATTTTTATGTGGTAGATTGGTTTATGTTTTCGCGATCTGATAAACTGCCATAATTTTAACAATATACACAGAAACAATGTTAAGTAAGGCCTAAAAAATAGAAACTTGGTCACTTTTTAGATTGTGGATTCATTTATATATTTATATAGAACCACCACCACTCATTTATATAGAATCACCTAGAAAAATCATAATTGATATAAGCTAAGCCAATTAAACCTCTTGGATTGGAACTTCACACACATTCACAGATTAACACTTATGTGACAAGGAAACTGTTTCAGATTGACATTTTTACTCAAAATTCTTGATAGATTCTTTATTAATAGACTTGTTTACATTTAAAAAAAGGAATATATAAATAAAATCATTTACTAAAATTTCCTATCTAACTTATTTAAAAATAAATTCTTTAAAATTAAGAACAAATATGTAACAAATAAAATAAATAACAATGAAAAAAATAAATCCTATAAATTTCACCCGGCCACATTAAAATAATCTTTTAAATCTGTGATTTGTTATGACTCTCTGTAACTTAAGAAGACTGGTGTTGAAGAAATCACTATGTACATTGTTGCCTTCAAAGTTTATAGTCTACACCTTCTGGATATAGAATTATTTAAATGGCAATTTGTCCTTTGAAGCTCTTTTACAAATGATCCATGGGGTCTTGTTAATCTCTGAGGAACGTTATCTATCATAACTTTAAATAATATGTTATACTAAGTTCTCCTAACTTCTAAATGACGTAAATTTAATCTACTATATATAGTTAATACTGATTAAATATGCTGCTCAGATAGAAAAATAGGCCAAGCACTCCGCCACTGTATAGGGCTCAATGTTAACTAGGTGTTCTTTTAAAACCTTTTTTTTTAAAGCTCTATAGTGTGTTTCCTGTTGAATGTCAGATGGTAGAATATTGTAAAATTTAACACATGCATACAAAGGACTTCTCTCTGTTATAGACAATCTGTGAAGTGGCAAATTCAAATTAAATTAAAATTTTTAAAAAGGAACATAATACATTCAAATATATAGATGTCTGAGAAAGTTACTATATTGAGTGATTTAAATCAGCCTCTGCAGGATTCTCCCGTCTGTAGTCCTGAGATCACCCGGACTGCTTTTTTTTGGACTATAAAGACAGTTAAGCTATCTACTGTAGCATCCCAGACGATTACTCCATATCGCATCAGAATAAAAGTTTGCATAATATACTGTTAGTAAAATGTTCTGGTCTAGATAGCCCTTTAACACTCTTAATGAGTAGCGGGCCCTATTAACTTTTTTTGTTGTCTTTTGTATTTGTTGCCCCCAATTCAAGTTCTGGTCAATATGAAGACCAAGAAATTTAACTGATTTAATAGGTTCAGTGTTTTGTGATAGAAAATTGATTGTATCTGGGAACTGTTCTAGTGACTGGCTGGTTCTAAAATAAACAATAACTGTCTTATCAGTATTAAGCAACAACCGATTTCCACTGAACCACTGTTCAGGCTTCCTTAGAGTTTGCTCTGCCACTGTGAGCGGCAGTGAGTGTTTCTAATGTTTTCTAATTTTCTATGCTTTCTAATTTTCTATGCTTTCTAATTTTCTAATGTTTTTCCCAGAAAAGCACATTTGAGTCATCAGCGAAATTTACAGGGTTTGAGGAACTACTAACCATCGCATTTGGAAGGTCGTTTATGTAGACCAAAAAGAGAAAAGACGCTTTCCTGTGGTATGCCTAATTTTAAATTAATCGGTTCAGAGTAAACCTTACATCCCTTTTTCTTCAAACATATTTTTTGTGACCTATCTGTGAGAGATGATTTTATCCATTTTAATGCCGGTGCCTGTATTCCATAAAGATGTAATTTTTGTAATAAGAGAACATGATCTAGCAGAACATGAAAAGCACCTAGTGTTTTCATCTTTGTCTTTAGTTTTTCTAAAATTTTTGATATAAAATCATAGGTAGCTGTCTCAACAGATCTCCCTGCGAGAAAACCATGCTGTGAACTACTATATGAGTAATTTGTAGTAAAAAAGTTTTGTAGTCTGGAATATATTGCTTTTTTAAATATTTTTGGGAATGATGGAAGAACGCTTATTGTTATATAGTTCTCCATCTTAGTAACATCACTTTTTTATATAGTGGCTTGACAATTGCCAGTTTTAAACTTTGAGGAAATTTACCTTGCCTCAAAGAAGCATTAACTATAAAAGAAAGAGGAAGAGAAATCTCTGATGAAACGCAATTAGTTAAGTTGGTTGATATTTCATCATAACCAGAGCTATGCTTGTTTGTAAGTGGTTATTTATTATGTGACTTATTTCTTTCTCTGAAACGCGAGTTACAAACATACAATGATTATTTTGTTCGATAATAATTTGAAAATTTTTTACATGCTTTATTTTCTTTACAGCTTCTGGCGCTGCATTGGCTATAAATTGATTTATTTCGTTAGAAAGCACCTGAGGGTCACTCTCTAAACAGAAATTACCTTGATTTTTGGAATTACCCTTAAGCTCTTTTACCATGGACGTATAAAACACAGATGGACTCAGTTATTTACATAAAATTGTGAAGTCAAAATTATTTGAATATGTCACATTCTCAGCACCTCCAACTGTTGTCACGTTTTTTTATTAAAATTTCTTATTCGCGAGTCGCTGAAAATATTACTCCGTATTTTATACTGTACAGGTGCTATCAAACCAAAATACTAATTTATTGGTTATATTAATATATCTAATTGTAATCAAAATATCAAGTGTGCACATAGTGTGCATTATCATTTAATAATAGCGTATAATAGATATCAATCAATTATTTTATATTTAGAAGCACTGAAAACTATTTATAAATGGCCACGGTTGTTTACATTTCTCTGTTTTACGGTTCTACGTCAAACTTCAAATGCTATTCCATGTTTGTTTATAACGATTGAGGAAATAAGGAAAAATTGTTTTTAGATATTTTGGCTGTATTTTGAGTGATATTTGTGAATAGTGAAATAAAATAAACGAAATATTTACATCCCGGTCTCTCATTTCATTTGTAAGTACATACAATTTACATTATTTAAGATAAGGAAATGAAAAAGCGTGTTTGTTTACATTTTAATAGGCGTACCATTGGGTTTATTCATGTTCATTAATGTATTCAATAAGATATAATAAAATTGTATTTTAATTTTTCTATAAAGACGTGATTTGTTAATAGTTAAATTCTCGTTTTTTTTTTAATTCTTTGAACGTGTTTTTATACATTATTACTACTTCCAATTTTTAAAATCTGAATAATTACCCACGAGTAAAAATTCAAGCACGCTTATACTCATTGCGGAAGCATCACATTCTATCGAAGCTTCAAAACATTGTGTGTTAAAGGTATCTTATTGCTGTGTCCATCTATGTTTATACGTCCATGTCTTTTACCAATTGCCAAGCAAGTTTAGTTTTATTTTCACTATTTTTAATTCGTTCTCTATAACAATTTTTTCGAGATTGAGTGAGTAAAGAATTTTATTTGCGTTTTTTGTCATGTAAATATCTTTATAATCAACATTATTACTAGACAGTGTAAACAAACCATCAAGCCTAGATTTACAATGTTTTATATCAACATTTTTAAAGCTCTTCGAGTGGAAAACATTGTATAAAAATTTTCTGAACTATATTCATAAAAGCATCTCACTGATTATCTACCTCTAATGTCTCAAAAACAGATACCCACTTTACATTACCTATAGTCTTTGATGGAAGGTTTAATATCAAAGGAGGTCAAAAACATTTTTTATGTGTCTGGCCACCTCACACCCTCTAGCAGTATATCTAAGTTAAAATGACCAGTTAGAAAAATGATGTAGTCCTTGTCAACTGAATTCCAAAGTATTTGGTCTAATTTGTTTATTAAAACTTGTGAATCTTCTGTTTGGTAGATGGATAGGATTACAATCCTCTTATCAATTCGCACTTCTACAGCGGAACACTCAAACACCGTTGTTTCTGATAAACTAGAAATATCTTCCTGGACTTTTACAATAAACGTGTCTTTGATGTATACCGCACTGCCACTATGCTCCTGTGAACTGCTTCTACGATATGAAGATATCAGTTTAAAATTTCTTACATTGTAGTCCCTCGGTTTTCAGTGCTCAGTTAAACAAAGGGCAAAGCATTCATCATGATCTAGGATAAATGAATGGCATCAATACTTGTTTTAATTGATTGCGTATTTAAGTGGATTACTGATAATTTCTTTTGGTGTCTGCCGTAGACTGTCGTTTGACACTGGGGTGCCTCTGTATATTTTGAAAATAGTTAATAATTACACCGTTCAGCCATGATTCTTGCTTAGAGTATTTTTAGTTCTGGAAAAGTAATTTTAAATGAACTTTTGTACTTATCTGTCCTGGTTTTCATTTTTTCGCAGATAACGTTTTCATCTAGATTTCTTTCTTTTAGTTAGTTAAGTATTTCCTAAGCTTCCGTTTTTCGATCGAAACCTAACAGGAAAATCGCCATATGTTTTGTGGCCACACGCAGGATACTTCCACCATTCTCATTGGTTCCCTGGAGTGAATCTGGTCGTTTAATACGTGTTGGATGAGTTGTTTTGTAAAAACCTCCTTTTTTGGGTTTCCTATTTATCATTTTCATCTTCAATCAGCTGACGGTTGATATCTTTAACAGGCGTCACGGGTGCAATTGAACTACTTGATATTCTTGGTTTAGGTAGCAGCTCAGACAAATTCACAGAAAAGTGGCTGTTCCATGGACGTATAAACATAGATGGACACAGCAATAAGATACCTTTAACACACAATGTTTTGAAGCTTCGATAGAATGTGATGCTTCCGCGATGAGCATAAGCGTGCTTGAATTTTTACTCGTAGGTTATTATTCAGATTTTAAAAATTGGAAGTAGTTAAAATGTATAAAAACACGTTCAAAGAATTAAAAAAAAACGAGAGTTTAACTATTAACAAATCACGTCTTTATAGAAAAATTAAAATACAATTTTATTTGCTTTAAAATTAATACAATTAAATATAGTTGAATTCAAGTTAATTTATTAATAGTATCAAAATAATGCTACAATAAAAAATCTTTATGTTTTCTCCTTAATTTGCTACCCAAATAGTTTGATCGTCAATATTATTTGGAAACCTACATAGAAAAATAAATTAGTTTTATTCATTTCACTAATTTATTTGTATCCATGAGAAATATTAAATTAAAAAGGTACTAAACAGATCTTTTTTAATCAGATGATGTCTACTTACAATTTATAAATGTCTACAATTTTAATGAACTCATATCTTATTCAATACATTAATGAACATGAATAAACCCAATGGTACGCCTATTAAAATGTAAACAAACACGCTTCCTCATTTCCTCATCTTAAATAATGTAAATTGTATGTACTTACAAATGAAATGAGAGATCGGGATGTAAATATTTCGTTTATTTTATTTCACTTTTCACAAATATCACTCAAAATACAGCCAAAATATCGAAAAATAACTTTTTCCTCATTTACTCTAAAAAGTAAACAAACATGGAACAGCATTTGAAGTTTGACGTAGATCCATAAGACAGAGAAATGTAAACAACCGTTGGCATTTATAAATAGTTTTCAGTGCTTCTACATATAAAATAATTGATTGATATCTATTATACGCTATTATTAAATGATAATGCACACTATGTGCACACTTGATATTTTGATTACAATTAAATATATTAATACAACCAATAAATTATTATTTTGGTTTGATAGCACCTGTAGAGTATAAAATACGGAGTAATATTTTCAGCAACTCGCGAATAAGAAATTTTAAAACGAAACGTGACAACAGTTGAAGGTGCTCAGAATGTGACCTATTCAAATAATTTTGACTTCACAATTTTATGTAAATAACTGAGTCCATCTATGTTTATAGAGTCTCTGTCACAACATTTTGTTCGTTTATAATGGATGGATTGGTATTGTTATTCTTAGTTTTTGCGGCATTTTTTAACTCCATGGAATTTTTTGGTAACTTTTTCTCTATGATTTCTATTTTTTCCCATAGCAGCTGATTATTTTCCTCTAGGATTTCATTTTTTACTTCTCAACTCACAAATTAGTTCATTTAGCAGATGAATGATTATATTTTCCATGTAATCTTTACTATTTAAGGTTATGTTATAATCACAAAAAATCACACGCGTTTCATCTAAAATTTGAAGTTTTCCGGCCCTATCCTGTGCCATCCATGGAACGCTTTTCCACACTTTACACATATTACTGTGCTTATTTTCTTAGTTTTGCAACAAGTAAACTTGTTTTTTTTTTGCTCTCGCTGTCGCATCATCCTTATCAGAAGCCATCTTTTTATATATGTATGTATGTATATGTAGTAAAATTAAGTGTGTACAGAATATTTTTAGTGGTAATTTTGATATTGTATGTATTGTAACATACATGTTGCACTTGCATAACTCCTAATTTTCATTGATTTGATTGTTATAGGAAGCTGTTTCCAAACTAAAATGGCACCATCAGGATATCGATCTCGATGAAACACGATTCGAAACTTCTCCGATTAGCCTAGACGATCTTTCTTTTGGCAAACCCTTGGCGAAGGGAGCAAATGCTGTTGTGTATGCTGCAAATCTGAAAAGCTGTGATTTGAACGTTTCTGAACAGAGTAATCCTGTAATTGATATTAAAGACACAGAAAACGATGACAGCAATAAATTTCCACTCGCTCTGAAGATGATGTTTAACTATGACATCCAGTCGAATGCAATGGCCATATTGAATGCTATGTATCGAGAAACTGTACCAGCTAGACTGTATCACAGTAACATTGGAATATCAGATTGGGAAATTGAGTAAGTGCAAATAATACATATCCAATATTAATTAAGGGTTTTAATTAAGGGGTTAAGTGTCCACTTAAAATTGAACCTAACCTAAGCTAACCTCCATTATTAATTTGGGTTAAAAACATGTATAATTTATTTTCCTCTACTTTCGTCGTTGTTAATTATATTTTTGATTTTTCGTCTATCTTATAAAACATTTAACCCCAATATATTACATAATCTGCTTAAAATATTTTGCTTTCTTTTTCTTTGTTTCAATGTGTTCTTTATTTACGTTTCATCAGCTTTTGCTAGATTAATAGAATGCAGTTAATTTCTGTTATTTTATTGGTAACCTTACCTACGTAGGTATAGATTTAATTTCTTTTTATTTTTTTTTCCTGTAAATTTTCGAATTATTTCAATTGTTACTCTTTTTTACTCTCTCCTCTCAACTGGCACTACAGCCCAAATCAAGCCTTGGCCTCCTTCATTCAAATTATGCCTCCAACCTTGCCGGTCCCGCTCCGATCTTCTCCAGGTTCTTATGTTTAGCAAATTTTGCTCGTCCGCTACCAAATTTTCTGTGGCCTTCCTTTTGGTCTTGCGATCTATGCGCAAATTTTACTATCTAGGACTCTTTTCGGCAATCTTTTGGTATCCCTTTTCACTACATGACCAGTCCATCGAAGTCTCTGTTTTTCAATATCTTTCAATTTTAATTTCTATTAATATTCATCATATCTTTTAAATTATATCAGAATCTCCTTTCACGTTTCAATTTGTTTTCTCTGTTTATGGTTTTATATGATAAGTTGACTGTCGTTCTTTTGTAAATGTTAGCAATTGCCATATCTCATGTTACTGCTAAAAGCATCATAATTTCACAATCATTTTTACTTTCATTTATCTATTCGTACTGCCTTGTGGATTTAAATGTATTGACTTAAAATCATCGTTAGTAATACTATCACCTCTATTAAAGTAGAGGTAAATAAATCACCTCTAAATTACAAGTTTGGTGTATAATTTATAATGGAAATCTTTTCTATTGTGCCCAACCAGTTCGATGGGGTAGCATTTTTCAGTAAAAATGTTGCAATCTAATGTACATCATAAATTGTTACTGAAATATTGTAGTTATTTATATATACAAACATTGCTGGCACATCAAACCACAAATGTCCCATTATTAATTTGGTTAATCGATTTTATTATTAGCAGAAAATGGATATTGTTACTGATAACAATAGAAGTAAAAACCTGACTAATATTGGACTCCCACACTATACAAAATTAGAGCAAAATGTTGTCCAGTCCATAAATGTGCAGTCATATAATACATCTCAAATTTATGCACAGACACAACAACCCCATGCATTATACAAGTTGTAGTATCCCCAAATAATGCCCACCGTTATAGCTCAAACTTTTCTGGACTCCTAATGAGTCAACCAAATAATAAAAATGTTGCGCAATAACTTATTTAGCAGCTAGTAATGAGGAAACAATCAAGAGGATAAAACAACTTCAGAAAAAATTGTTCACGATTAAAAAAAAAAAATACCAAGAAAAGGAAAGAAACTCCTAAAATGGAAAATACAACAACACAAGTGAGCACCAATAACAGATATGAACCTTTAAAAAAACTAACCGATCAGGATAACACACCATTAACACCCAGACCATTGACATCTAAACCTCCACCTATATTTATATATGGAATAAATGAAATAAAAAAAGGTTTCAAATCTCACAGCTGCTGTTAAAGAAGATCACCACCTGAAAGCTCTTCCAAATGACGCAAACAAAATAAAAATCGAAACTATTAACTCATACAGGGAAAAAATAGAACACCACACATCAAGTGAAACAAGATAGAGCCTATAGGGTAGTTAAAAGAGATGTGCACCATACCATACCAGTTGAGGATATAGCAAGTGAATTAGCCAGATATGAGGGCAATAACACAACATTAGAAATGTTCTTTGTAGATCTCGTACCAAAAGAAAATAATAAAGATATCGATAGACTGGATTATATCTGCAATATGAAAGTAATCATCGAACTTTAAAAACAAAAAATATCGATCATACAGTATCAACGTTGCCAACTCTACGGCCGTTCAAGAGCATATTATACAAGATCTCACAAATTCATGAAATGTTAAAAAAGTCACCCAACATCAGGATGCAGAAAACTGCTAATAATCTTATGTCAAACCAAACTTCTAAGTCAGTTCAGACATCACAGTGTTAGAATCATCTTATGTAGAAGCAGCAAGAAAGAAGCTGAATTCATTCTTAAGTGAAATTAAAACAATTATTATACAATTACTTAATGGAAACTGCATGATACAATGCCAACAACATTAATAAATAAAATTCATTAGGTATGTTTGAATCGCTGAGACAACAAAATACATATCCTACTCGTATCTGAAACACACTTTACAGAAGAAGTGCACTTAAAATACCCCAGTACACAATTTATAACACCGGCCATCCAGATCGAATAGCTCATGAATATTCTGGAACATAAAACAGACAAGGTATAAATAACAATACTTAGCATCAGTGCCCGTCGTTGGAACTTCGATATTGCAGCAATATGCAATAGACCCCTTACAGACACAAAATTAGAGCTGATGAATAAAAAGAGCTGTTCAAAAACTACGTAACAGATTCATCATTGGAGGTAACTGGAAATTGTGGCTCACGACTCCTCACACCAAAAGGCAGAAACTTGTTACACTCCATCAATAGCGTGAACTGTACCTACTTATCGATGGGTCAACCAGCATACTGACCAAGTGACAAATAGACAACCAGATCTACTAGACTTCTTTGTGTTAAAAGGAATAGCCGCTAACTACATGGACATAGAAGCAAATTGATTGATTTGAGAAAGTTGATGTCTCCCAAAACTAATTGGTGTAAATTTACACAACAAGCTGCGTATGGAGCTACACCGTTAGTAACTCTAAAACAGGAAAACCCAAACAGCACTCCTAATCATATCAGATAACTAATAACTGAGAATCTGACAGCAAGATGCTAGAATACAACTAACTCACAAGACAGTTACGATGAGCTCTACATGATGCATGTAATTCTACATTTGAACACTATATTAGTACATTATCAAAAGATGACCACACAATCTGGAAGGCAACAAATCAACTAAAAATATCCATGGAATACAACCCATCAATTAAGAACAACATGTTACATGGGAAAAGACAGACCAGGAAAAAGCATCGTTTTTAAAGAACACCAACCAGATAGTAATAATAATAACGAAAACTTAATAAGAGACTTTCTGGATAGTAATTGTCCTGTGACGCTACCAATAAAAGCTGTCAGTTCATCAGAAGTAAAACAAGAAATAGAAACATCCAACAATCACAAGGCACCTGGATTCGACCTTGATCTGACTAAAAAATCTACCACGAAAGTCATTGGTGATATTAACTACAATATACATATTACAGACTAGCATACTTTCCAATTACATAAAAATTTGCACGAATAATTATGGTTCACAAACCGGGCAAAGCTCCAGATAAAGCATCATCCTATCGACCAATCGGCCTATTGCCTGCAATATTTAATATATTCGAAAGAATATAATAGATTAAAAGAGATTAAATATATAGATTAAGGACATTAACCTAGATGCAGAAATACCTACGCACCTGTTCGGATTCTGTATGAGACATTCTACAACACAACAGACCCATAGGGTTAAAACAAAAATCCTCACTGCTATCCCACAAAAAAGGCATCTGATAGAGTATGGCACAATGGACTCTTATATAAACTTAAAAGCATTATAAAATCCTATGTCGAAGATCATTGCTTCCAAGTAAAATATAACAGCGACCTCCACAAACTCTCCCATTAAATCAGAAGTGCCACAAGGCAGTTGCTAGTCGTCACCTTTACCTGATATCTACTGCAGACATCCCAACTACAAATACAATGGGAATATCAACATTTGCCGATGACACAACCAATATCACTATCAACGGGACCCCATCACGGCATCCACATATATACAAAATTACTTTAACCAACTAGAAATGTGGCTCAACACAGATGGAAGGTAAAAGTAAATGAAAACAAATCAACTCAGTCACTTTTACAAATTGTAGATATAAGTGTCCAAAAACAAGACAATATATACCAGTCAGCAATCACGTTAAATGTTTAAGATTAACTCTCGATAAGAAATTATCATGGAAACCTCACATCCAAAATAGATCGAAAATCAAAACTAAACATAGAAAATAAGCTGCTCCTGTACAAATGTATAATAAAACCGACGTGGACCAATGTTATCCAGCTTTGGAGTTGCTCAAAGCCGTCAAACATTAAGATAATACAAAGAATTCAATCAAAAATATTAAAAATGATATTAAATGCATCTTGGTTTGTAAGCAATAAAACACTACACAGCGACTCAGCTATACCTAAGGTAGAGGTAGAAATCGAAGGATATCAAGAAATTACCTTCACGGACTGAGAGATGACCCAAATGAAGAAGCAATACTTCTAAACGCTTCATCTTGATTCGAGAAATGACTGAAGAAACGATGGCCAACTAAATTAACTGTGTAAACTAATGTAAAGTGTATAAAAGGAGGCTTATCATAGAACAGTTTCTCTTTCATGTGTAAACTTTCAAACTGTTTACCTATAGTTTCAAATCAGGCAGATTGTAAATTAAATTGTAGTAAAAAAATATAGATCTGATTGATATTTTCTTTCAGGACTTTCGTATTAACATATAGTTGTTGTCTTTTTTTTAGTTTATCAGAAAGGAATAGGCATTTACCACCCCACCCAAATGTAGTCTCCATTTTTTCGGTCTTCACAGATTATGTACCTGAATTGCAAGACTGCCGTGGTCTGTACCCTGCCGCACTTCCAAGACGGATTCATCCGGATGGCGAAGGAAGAAATATGTCCCTGTTTCTGCTAATGAAAAGGTCAGTATCTATATTTTACAAAGTAATGACTGAATTGTTATATTTTTCTGTTGTAATCACTGAAATTTGATTTGTCCATTCGGTTCAGTTTTGTTTGTAACAAGCTTAGGTTTGAAATCTTGCCAAACACCATTTGTCAACTTTAGGATATAGTTACTAGGTGACATATTAACCTTTTCTTTACCAGCGACGTATATATATATACGGTTTGGGAAAAAGTTCCACTGTTTCCAGTGGCGTATATATACGTTCTCGAGTGAAAACCTTTTTAATACCATGCCGTTTGTATACGGCATCAAAATTTTTTTTGCACCTCTACCAGCCCCATTGCCGCATCTATCCGGCATTGTTACAGTGCCATCAGCCCCAATCCCGTATTGGTACGTTCGAACATGCATTGTGAGTATTTGCTACATACTGGGAGTAGACGGAAAAGATTTTTTTCTTAGAAAATGATTTATGCCCTTACTCCCTCTTCGCACTTGATGATGAGAGACTTCGGAGAGATGCATCCGTGTAGATTTTATAGTGGTCGGGGTACTTTTCCAAGAGGGCTTCGAACTTGAGCCAAATGAGGGAATTGTTTCTACTGGATTTCCCGAATAGGCCAGAGATGTATTACAGATTGGAAAATCGATCAGCCAAGGCGGAGGGTATTTAATATCCAAGGAGAAAACATCCGGAAAATTAGTGTTAAGATTTTGAAGTGTGGATTGAATTCTTTCGTAATATGGTTTTTTAGTATAGCGAATATCTTTAAATAGTATCATAAAAAAACTAGGCATCTGTTGTTTAGTATAGTTTTATTCTAAAAAACTGGAAATCTAACTTATCTATATCTTTTTCAGATACAGCACCAATCTAGAAAACTTCCTACGCACATCTCCAGTGTCTGTGAGATCATCTGTGCTTCTCTTTACTCAACTTCTTGAAGGTATAGCTCATATAAACGCACATGGAATAGCACATCGTGACCTTAAGAGCGACAATTTGTTGCTCGATACTTCCGAACCAGAAGCTCCGATGTTGGTGATAAGTGATTTTGGCTGTTGTCTAGCTGATAAAGCTAATGGTTTAATGCTGCCTTATACAAGCTACGACGTTGATAAAGGCGGCAATACAGCCCTGATGGCACCAGAGATATTGTGTCAGGTAAGATGTGACATATTTAGTATATATTATATTTATAATATACAGGGTGTTCCAAGATTTTTTAACAGCCTTTAATTAAGGAAGTAGTGAATATTTTTACTTAAAAGACTGAATACATATATTGTATATAAATTTTGTTTTAAAACTTATTTCATGTATTTTTAGGTGCCTGGTACTTTTAGTGTATTAAATTACACCAAATCGGATCTGTGGGCTGCTGCAACAATAGCATACGAAATATTTGGTGCTAGGAATCCATTTTATAAAAGCAATGATCAAATCTACTTAAAAAGTTCTGGTTACAAAGAAGAAGATCTTCCTGCTCTGCCAACAGAAGCTCCATATATTATAAAGATGTTGATCAAAAATCTACTACAACGAAAACCTAATAAAGTAAGTACAACATTTAACTAATAGTTATTAACTTTGATCAAATGAAAGGCAGATATCGAGCACAGTTTTATTAATTAAATCTTGCCCAAGTACTTTCGCTTCCTAGAGCATCTTCAGTGGCATCAGCAGAGCATCACTGAAGAAAATTAATAAACTTGTGTCCAACTGACACTACTATAGGAAATTAACTGATGAAATATGAAATTATATAGAATATTTTAAGTCGATTGCATAATCCAGATTTAAAATCTGCAGATCACATCACTATGATTGTGACAGCCCATCCAAGCTGTCATATGTAACATGTCACCTCTACATTTCCGTTGGGACCAGGAGCCATTCTCTCTCCGAATGCCAATCAACACGTAGCTTCCTCGTTTAAAAAAAAAAGGAATTTAAACTGTTTTTTCCTTTTTCCATGTGTCATGTAGTGTTAATGTACAATTTTATGTTTATGACATTCTCAAAGATTGTTGGATAGGCCAAATTTGACGAAGTAAGTCTAAAACGTTATATTACATAAAAAACTTTTATCAAGCATCAACTTCGAGTTTTGTGTCGAAGTTAATTAATTTTATGTTCTAGGAAGCGAAACTACTTTTGACTGCCTTCCCTCGTTCAACCGTTTCCATCTCTCTCTGTTGTCTCTACTTCGTTCCTCCAGGATCTTTGGGGTCGTCCTCTTTTCCTCCTTCCTATGGGACTCCATTCTGTTATTCTCTTTATCCATCTGCTGTCGCTAGTTCTTCTTACATGTCTATACAACTTTAGTCTTTTTTGTTCTATAAATGTTAGTATGTCTGTTTCTATTGATGTTCTTTGCTTTATTTCATTACTTCTATCCATTCTTGTTACTCTGCAGCATCTTCGAAGGCATTTCATCTCTGTTGCTACTATCTTACTGCTGTTTTTTTTGTTTATAATCCAATTTTCAGTCCCATATGTCATAATACTTCGCACTAATGTTTTATTAATCTGTGTTTTTGTCTTCATATTTAGGTGTCTATCCCACCATACTGAGTTAAGCTGTCGGATTGATGTTCTTGTTTGTCCTAATCTTTGCGTAATTTCTTCCTCTGTTGTTGCCTTTTTCGTGATTATAAACCCCAAGTATTTGAATTTATCCTTTCCTTTGATTGTTAGGTTGTCATCAATCTGTAGATCTTCTATGTTTTCTTCACTTGTAGATAGGGATTCTGTTTTCGCGAGGTTAATATCTAGGCCAGCCTTGGTATATTCTTCTTGTAGTTTCTTCATCGTGTAGCTGAGGTCGTCTTGGTCTTGTGCAATCACTACTTGATCATCTGCAAAGCTTAACGTATATAGGTATTCGTTCGTACCGGTACTCCCATGCCTTCGCATTTTCTTTTCCATGTAGTCAAGGATTTCTCTAAGTACATTTTGAATAGGGTTGGAGATGTGGAACATCCCTGCAGGAGCCCTATTCTTGCGGTGACGTCTCCTATGATTATTGTTCCCACTTTACACTTTATTTTGTTTACACAGAGCTTTTGTTGCTTCTATGAGTTCCGTTTATATTTCTAATTTGTACAGTGCCTCCCATAGTTCTGACCTTGGTACAGAGTCATACGCCTTTCTCAGGTCCACAAATGCCAAATTTATATCTCTATTTTTTGCCTTTTTCTTTTCCAACAGTTGTTCCAGTGTGTATATGTGGTCTATGCATGAACTTCCCCGTGAAGCCTGCCTGATCTTCCCCGATTTTGCCTCTTATCGCTTGCTCTATCTTTTCTCGCAGTATCTTCCCATATAATCTTCCTGTTAATGATATTACGCTTATTACTCTGTAGTTAGTTTTCGCATCGTTTTCTATCTCCTTTCTTAAATATAGATGTCATATATGCCTCCGTCCATTCCTTTGTGAGCTGTTCTCCATTTATGGCTTTATGAAATATCCATGTTTCATCCGGTGTAATTTTTTGAGCCGTATTTCATAAGCTTAGGTGAGATGCCTTCAGGTCCCGGTGCTTTCTTATTTTTGATTGCTTTTATGACCTTTCTCATTTTTCTATCTGTTATTTCTATTTCTTGTTGTTTTTATATTTATGTTAAATAAACGTAAAAGAATTATAGTGAATTTTAATGTTATAGCGTCTTAATCCAGAGGTGGCTGCGAATGTTTGCCAGTTGTATTTATGGGCGCCAAGTTCATGGATAAAGACAGAAGCCAGAAAGTTGCCATCTAGTGCTGAGGTTAGTATTTATAATTAGGTATAACTATTATTAAGTCAATTATAAGCGTGGTCTGGAATTGTTCCTACGATTCGTCTGCAAGTACGGTAGACATTATCAAAGGCAATGCGGCCACCGACAAGTAACCTGCACAACCACGAGTAAGTAGTTGGAAATTTGTTACCGCTTCGCCTTTGACTATAATGAAACGATTAGTTCAATAATTTATATTCAAATTAATAAAAAAATTATTTCATGCTCCTTTTGGAGAAACATGATAGAAGAACATGGATAGAATAATGATTAACTTATTTCTAATATAAATTTTATAAGCTAAATTCTTATTCAGCAGTATTTCTTTAGTTCCTATCAATTCTAGCCTGTTCACACTAAGATTAACGGGTACACTGTCGCACTAAGTTCTGCTTTTGTGATATCACTGCATTGCACTAATCCGTGTGATTTAATTCTCTTGAACCATCCGATCTAGTTCGACAAAGCTTGTCAAGTAGCTGAAGAATTCATTCACCTGACGATGGAAGCATATCCTCTTGGTTCAGAGCGTGTTTAGAGATAGCCTGTCTCACGGTATCAATCACCAGCTCCTTGTGAATCTTTGTTTCTAATATACCAAGGAACACTAATGATATTATTTAATACCTTCTCCAAACGTTAGATTATCTGTATGTCATTTTTGTTGGCACCACCCTTAGTTGTATGCTATAATTCCGAATAGACTTGAGGATTTGATTGTAGAGCAGCATCTTGTTACGAATAGATAATTTGAAATCACGTCCAATCAACCAATACGTTGTTTTATATTAAATTCCTTGTCTTTTCTTAAAATGTGCTTTTCGCTTCTTGCATCAAGGTTGATATCCAGATATTTTGCAGTATAATGGGATGTCTTATCTTCTTTTAAAAGTGAAATCAATATGGCTAAATCTGGTTTCATTTAGCTCGATTCTCTATTCTATGTCTTTAGTCCACATGTTCATCTGATCTGAGTTCTAAAATGTAACACTTCCGTTTGGCATACCAGCTGTAATCTGTCTCATATCAGAATATGGTTCCTCCAGCTTGTTTTTGCAGGTGTAGAGTGTACTGTTCTGGTAGGTAGTAGCGTAATTTATGTATTAAACGTATATGCCTTACCTGGTTTAAAGCTTGGGCCCCGTCCAGGACGTAGTGAAGTAATACACTGGTGCAAACTTTTTTTCTTTCAATGTGTTATGTTAAAGATCCTGTGCACTTGGTGAATAGTAGAACGGCTCATTTATTGACTTTAATCTTTTTATGAGTATTTTTTGAAATTATAAGAAAGAATGATATATCTCTATATGACGATATCTCGTGAGGTGGTTATCCAGGTTTAGGTATCATAATCACTTCTACCACTTTCCATAACTTCGGAACACGTTTAAGTTTATATAAGGCATTTAGATGATATGTTAATTTTGTAATAGTTTTCTTTGGAAACTGCTTTAAAATCTCAAAATGGTCTAATTGATATTAGATCAGTATGGCTCTTTTCTAATGCTGTGTCAAGTGAATGCCGTTGGTGCTATTCTCATACAATTTAGCTCGTGTTTGGAACTGGATAATATCAACATAACAGGTTGATTACCTGAAATCCTTATAAAATTGACAACATTTGTGTTTTCCCCTTACCCTTCATATGATAAGTAATGACGTCATTGACTATAAATGTAATGCAAATTATAGTGGTAAGATTGCGTCAGTATTCGGCAATTTTAATTTAAATATATTCCGTACTTTTTAAATATCAGACTGTACAAATTAATTTGTTTGTTGTAAATATGTCACCTAATAGTTTCTAATGTGTTTTTAGATTTTGCAGTGGCTATTAAGTCTCACAACCAAAATACTCTGCGAAGGCAGAATTGCCAACAGACGCTTTTCCCAATCTGCCCAGCCAGACTCGGAGCAAGCTAACATGGAAAAAGGTGGCAGGCGAACTTACCCGGAGTATCTGCTGATATCCAGTTTCTTAGTAAGGGCCAAGTTATCGAACATAAAAACCGCTCTGGCTTGGATCCAGGAAGTAAATTGCGTTGATTTTTGAGTTAATTCTAGTAATATAATGTATAAGTGATATTTTATCCTTCCAGTAAATAGTTTAGTTTCACCTTCTTTGGTTCATCATCATCAACCTGTATGCGTCCACTGCTGGAGGTAGGTCTCCCTTAGCTTTTTTCGTCTATCTCTGTCTTGTGAGACCCTTCTATGTTAATAAGGTAAAAATAAAATTATGAAGATCCTAACAAATCAGTCATACAGCGCCACTTATTTTAAAGATCGCAAGAAATGTTAAATCCTTTTTTTAATGCTGCAATCCTTTTAGTAGAAGAGCTGATTTCTCAGCGATTGTATCTTTTGTGATTTCTTCTGAGTTATTTCATAATATCTCTCTGACATCCATTCATGTGTTAGACTGCTTTGTATCACCTTTTTGTCGTATATTGTAAACTTCTAGTGTGGATTTATACCAACTTGTTTTTTCTTTATGACAGGTATCTAGTATTTTAGACAATTGCTGAAAAATGTTGAGGGGTGATATTCTGAAGAAATTATCACGAAAGTGTTACGATCGGTGTCACCACCGAATCAATTTAAATCCCTAGAAAAATGAGAATTTGCACTGATTCTTATTGGTTGAAGCGTATTGTAATTGCCTTCAATAAGACAATATTCAATCGACAAGGTTTGAAAGCTCTTCTTTTTAATACTTGCATTAACAATAGTTCTTGAAAACAATTAGTTTTTATCTATTCCTAACCAAAGAGGGTACATTATTACAAAATGTTTGTGGTACATTATTATATATTATAATACTAACATCATATATGGTTTTAGTTTAACGAAAATACAATATATTACTATTGGAATTAAAATATCAAATGGTCAATGCTTATAAAGACTGTTGTTGTTGTGATTAATAATTGTTTGAGGTTAGGTGATGTAATATATCTTTATGAAATAAAAAATATATAGATTTTTACAAATGTGTATTATTACATATTTATGAGCAGGATACAGGATAAGAAATGAAGGGTAAGGGAAAAAAAACAAACGATGTCCATTTTATAAGAATTTCAGGTAATCAACTTAATATGTTGACAATATCCGGTCCCAAACACGTGCTAAATTGTACGGGAATAACACTTACGATGTCCAAATAACAAAGCGTTAGGAAATACCCAAAACAAACGTTGTCCACGGAGTACTGGTAAACCATGGTTCCATGTTTGGTTTTTTTCGCAGCAGTTTATGTCGAGATAAGTTTGAGTGAAGTAAATAATGATATGAAAATATTAATTAAGAAAATTGACTAAAATGATTATTAAGGTTTTTTTTTCGTTCACTGATTAAAGTTTACACAAAATTTAAGGTAAATTATTTTAAAAAAAGTAGTCTGAAACAATTAAAAAAAACCTGACTACTTCCCAACAGAGAAGATTCTTCTTCTGGACGCCTAACGTCACTGGGACTCGTAAAGGTGAAAGCTATATAAGCACACTCTCCTAGTAGTTAAACTAAACAGCTATTCCAGTAATCGGGAAAAACCAAAAACTTCAACCAAACTATATGGACTTCATTATCTCAAATTCAAAATAATCTTGAATTGACTTTATATTCGTTTTTACTCCAGCGACTAAAAATAAAATCAAAGAAAGCTCTCATTAGCTTTATTCTGAGTTGATAAACAAAAAGGCGGTTAGGACAAGAAAAACTAGCCCGAATAATGATAATTAGTGAAGGTCTGTACACTTTTTTGTGACCTTGGAAAATTAATTGAAAACTATGGATTTATAAAAATAATGTTGGGATTTAACTATGAAGATTTCAAGGAAAAATTAAAATTTAACATATCTTAACGAATATATTATAGGCCAAGAGTAATGAAGGATCTCCTTACATTACCGAATTGCTTGGATATTGATGAGAACGTGTACTTAGGAGAATTTCTAACAGAAAGAATTCTGAACGTGATTTACTGATATAATTAGGGTAAAATTATTGTATAAATGATATTAATATGAAATTAAGAATGGTTTAAAAAAATGATTTAGTTTAATTAAAATAAAACTCACCCAACGCAAAACTATTTCACTATTTAAACTAAAATCTTCTTATCCCAAAAATTCTAATATTAAAACAAAAAACGCCTTCTGTAACTTAAATAGTGGATCTCTGAATAAATTAAAATGTTGTCCTGTTAACTTAAAAACCACGTGCGTTGGTCGCTGGAATTAATCAATCCTCTGTCCCGATCAAAGGCTGGATATAAAGTGAGTTATTATACTTTAAAAATCGTTGGCTTCCGTCAGCTCCAAGGTAACCGGAAGCGGTAGGTAAGCAGTTTGACCAATGGATAAAAATTGATAATACCATTATGTATAGTTGGTTGCATACCTTACAGGCAGAATTAAGTTGTTTTAAAGTTTTCAGTAACGATAAAGTACTCTTATCGTTACAACGTGTCATGAGTTTAATGTAAAAATCAAAACTCTTCATTCTGTTGATGATGCAGCACAGATAAAAGCTCTATCTATGAAAAATAAAGTGCACAAAACGAGCAACAAGTTTTCTATGAGAGAAAACGAGCGGCCCGAATATGCTAGGAGAACTTTTGTATGTCTCCTAGTTTTTATGGTTTGTGAAGTATGTTTTCGTTCAACATTCGTCTTTAGGAAAATACTGTTTTCTACATATCCTGAATATGTAAGAATAAGAAAAAGATTCGACGAGGTATCATCGTATTATCAATGAACTACGAACAGAAGTCCGTCATCTTCATACTTTCTGCGACTCAGCTGGAGGACAAAATAAAAATTTTACGGTTGTTTGGCTACTTCATTAAATTGTTGTTCTGAAGCTATTTTCTTGTGGCATTGTAAATTAATTACTATTTATAACTGGGAATAAGCCATAATTAAAGATAAAAAATACGTTTATTAACGTTTCAATTTCCAATTCGGAAATCGTTCTCAAAATACAAACAGTAAATTAAACAAATTTTGTTTTTTGTTACATAGTGAAAAAATTCTTCTAATAATTTAATTTTATCTGACTCATTTATATTGACAATTCAGACATACATTATGCATTTTAAAGTAGACGACTTTAAAATGATATTGCCAATATTGTTGAGTTGCGCTCCTGGGACGACTTTACTATAAGATAGTTCATTCGATTACATGAAATCAACTTTAACTTGAGAATATCCGTCAGAAAAAATCATAGCATGTAATTCGTCTTTAAAAAGACAAACACATGACATGATGACAGTAAAATTCTCCTGTTAGTGATTCCATAGTAAATTATGAGGGAAAAACCAGGAAAAAAACCTCATAATACTATCCCGACATTGTAAGTATTTGTTCGTGAATTTAGTTTACCTTCAATAAACATCAAAATTCTGATTTTATATGTTACGTTATTTAAAAAACATAAATGATGTATCCTCTATATGTTACTGACTTACTAATACTGGTATTTTCTTATTAATAACTTCCTCTTTCAATATTGGTAACCAGATCCTACTACATTCTGCCGAGGAATTTGCGACACAATTGGCCTCATTTAGCATAATTAGAGCCGCTTCTTTGATTTTTCTTTTTTTACCATCCGTTTCTTTTAGGACTATATTTGAATTATTCCATTGAACCCTATGTTCAATTTACTTTATATAAGACTACTTTACTATCTTATAGTAAAGTCGTCCCAGGAGCGCAACTCAACAATATTGGCAATATCATTTTAAAGTCGTCTACTTTAAAATGCATAATGTATGTCTGAATTGTCAATATAAATGAGTCAGATAAAATTAAATTATTAGAAGAATTTTTTCACTATGTAACAAAAAACAAAATTTGTTTAATTTACTGTTTGTATTTTGAGAACGATTTCCGAATTGGAAATTGAAACGTCAATAAACGTATTTTTTATCTTTAATTGTGGCTTATTCCCAGTTATAAATAGTAATTAATTCATTAAATTGTCCACGATTTAAAGCATCCAGATACTATTCAAGTCACATTTTCCTCATCAGAGAACATTCGTGTCTAGAATGTGATAAAAACATGGGCTTGATAAATTTGAAGACTAGGATCGAGCTATCCGTAGATTAGATAAATGTCTTACAAGATGCAAGAAAAAGGCAGGAACCGTTTAAAGTTATAGACGTGTACCAGAAAATAACGAAACAGTGGACTACGTTTCTGCAAGAAGAATTTATTCGTAAGTGTCCAATAGCAGCAAGTAGAGAACTTCAAGTAATAAAAACGCGGATTGGTTTTTAGCGAACCACTTATAATGGCATTTTGAAAGCAAACACGTAAGCAGTAGATCAATAAAAGCTGTTGTTCCTAGAAAAGTGAAAGATGGCAAATTTGAGCTACCAAGTCAAGCATACCATGGACCATTACCAATTTCCCAAGCTAAGTGTATGGATTTACAAGTGTTGAAATAATTTTCTCTTTCAAATGCTAAAGAATTTTATGAAACATTGCTATACAAATGAAAAATATCTGTCGAATAGGACATCGTTGGTTTTTAACAAGTTATTTGCGATGGTAACGTGTTTTTATTTTTTATCAACTGGAATCTAATAATCTTAAGTTCAATTTTTTTTGATTAGATATTAACAAAATAGTAATAAACAACTTAAAAATATTGACCTGTAGTTTTATTTATTTCTAAGATCGTAAAAGTGGTTTGATAAGGTTAATTAACTTTTCCCTGTAAGTTACTTTTGTGACATCGTTTGTTTTTCCCCTTACCCTTCATATATAATCTTTTGTTAGACGGACAACAATTGTGGACTTTTTGAAAACCTACTGAATAGGTATTTAAAGGTTTTAAATATCTACAAAGATGTGATGCAATGTTAACAACAAAAGTGAAAATGGAGGACTGGATACCAAGTGAACAACAGCAAATTCTGGATATAATGGAACAGAGAAACTGCAAAAAATATTGATGAAATTCAGTACAAGCGGTTACAAAAGATCATTAAATGCAAAATAAGAATGGCAAAAAATCATAATACGCTAATAAATGTACATAAATAGAAGAATTGCAAAGAAATGACGATAGATTTAATCCACATAAAAGAATAAAGGAAATAACAAGAACAACTAAAAAACAATGGAAGTATTATACTAGTCAAAGATGGAAATATCATAGTAGACAATATAAAGAAGTTACAGAGGTGACAAGAGTATATACATAAGATATAATACATAGGTATATACATATATATATATATATATATATATATATATATATATATATATATATATATATATATATATATATATATATATATATAAGAGTAAATACCAGTTTTCTTAGTATTTAATTACAATAAATAGTGATAAAAACAATTGTGTACAGATTTTTGATATTTTCTTCATTGTTACATGCAACCTGTTCCAAGCAACAAGCAAGTATTGCAATATTTATAAACAATTGTCTAGTTTTTTGTTATCAACCTACTGATAAGAAAGCAAGTAATTCCGCCAAGACCTATATGTTTTTGTCAAACCAATATAGGCAACACATTTTACAATATGAGAGATTGTTACTTGCGAACATTTCAGGAATTTCGTTTGATTACAAAAGCAATAAAATTATGAATATTACCTCTACGGTCAACACCACAGCAATGCCTACATCCAGTACATCGAGCAATAAGACAAAAGAGGGAATCTAATCCTTATGAAAAGGAGACCAAAAAAGTGGCCTCTGATGGCGGACATATCCGGAAATGCGAATGCGCCAAATTTAAATTTTCCGACACTTATCAACAGTAGCTATATAATATTTTTCAGAATGTGTCTTAGACGAGAAAGTTTTAATTAATTATTAATGATAAGAGTCTAAAATGCGACACAATTGTTAAAAACCTTCAATATAAATAAGATTTCATGTGACATTTGAGACAAACAATAACATAACCCAACTAAATTTGATGTCAAACAAGGAGAGAGACTC